CCAAAAAATGAACTAAGTCCCTAAAACTCTTTCTTGCTTTTATCAATATAAAAATTTGGGGACTTAGTTCATTGGGGACTTCGTTCGTAGCGCATTTGCCGAAATTTGGCTTCGTTTACTTACTACGTATTTCTTGCATTGCCGGCCTACGGACAGGCGCAAAGATTTCCTCCTCTGGTGCAAGGCGAATTCACATAAGGTGGTGTTATTTAATCAGCTGATTATTTTTTCTTCACTTGACTGGAACGCACTGATGTCAGAGTTTGTTACTGTTTACATTTTCATATTTAAAAATTTCCGTTAAAACAGAGAAAAACTTCGTTAGTATTTTGAATAATTTATGGAAAAAATCTGAAAATACCACGCCTTTTGTAAACAAATATTTTTCCTATAAAATTAATGAATAATTGGTTCGCATGTACCAACTTTATACATACATATACATAACAATAATATTTTTTCAAGTAAATGTTAACAAATTAAACAATATTTTGTTATATTTTATATTTACACTTTGAAGATAAGGCGATTAACTTAAAACTTTCTGTGCCGGAACACTTCATATAAAAACCTACAAAAAAAATACCTGACTGGCGATAGCTGTCTTCTACGTTATGGTCAAATTTTGAGATCTATTGAATTTTAATAAATTGTTTTATATTAACTGTGTAGATAACGTTGTTAACTGACAAAGTTCTGCACCGGAACGCTTTTTATAACAAAACCCATATGAGGTATTTACCCGTCCGGCTACAGCTGACTACAACGTATAAATCATAAATATACTCCGCCGGAATTTTCCATTTACAACAAAGATTCTTGCATTCGGTATATAATTTTTCCATACATTTTAAAATGTTTATATTTATTTTTTACAAAAATATTATATTTTACATAATTTTAGGCACAAATTTAAATTTTGCAAATTAATATTGCCGGAGTAGAATTTTTCATTTGGAATAAACATTATTCCATTTAGGGTAAATTATCTTCACAAATTTTAATATTTTTATGTGTATTTTTATAAAATATAAAAATTTCACAAAATATTTTCATTAAATGAATTCGCCGCAATTATTTTCTTTGACATCAGTGCGTACCAAGGCGAATTCAGATAAGGTGGTGGCAGTTCTGCAACAACAACATTTTACATGTATTTTGTTTTTGCATTTGGTTTACGTAGATGTCAAAAACCATAAGTACGGCGAATTCATGTGATGAAAAATGTTTGTAAAAAGTTTATATTTTATTAAAAAATAAAGATAAAGATATTAAAATTTGTGAGGAAAATATATTCTGAATTGAATAATGTTTGTTTCAAACGAAAAATTCTATTCCGGCAGGTCAATTTGCAAAATTTAAGTGAGTGCCTGAAGTTAAGTAAAACTTGATTTTTTGTGAAAAATAAACATAAAATGGATAATTCTACTCCTGCTGAGTAATTTTCAATATTTGGCCATAATGTAGCAGCCGCCGGACGGGTAAATACCTCATATGGGTTTTGTTTTATAAAGCGTTCCGGAACAGACTTTTTTTAGTTTATTGTTTAATTTGTTAACATTTATTAGATTTCAAAATTAAGCCATAACGTAGAAGTCAGCTGCCGCCAGCCGGGTAAATACTTCATATGCGTTTCTTAATATTAAGTGTTCCGGAAGAGATTTTTTTAGTTTATCACGTAATCTACACAATTTTAATATAAAATATAAAACAATATTAGTTGTGTTTTGTTGCTAACGTTCAAAGGCAATTTCATATAAATTTAAAATTTATAAACGTTAGGAGTTAACGTGTAAAATTATACAAGTTAATTTTAACGTCGATAAAAGTGCTACCAATTAAAAATAAAAATACAAATATTAATGTGTTTATGTCAAACAATAAAAAAATATTTTAAAATAAAATTTAAATCAAAAAAAATATCAAATAAAAAAACCTTTTTTAAGAAAATGTAAATAATTTCAAGATTTAGCAGATTTCTTCTGTGGAGTGATGCCAAGTCAGGTAATGTTCGTTTTGTTGCTAACTTTAAGCGTTAACACTCATTGATAGCAACAAAACACAACTATTGTGTAATATGTTAACATTTAATAGAAAAAAATATTTTTCTTAAATAACATATTAGTATACATACCAATTATGCCATTATTTAAATAAAATGATATTTGTTTACGAGATGCTTGGTATTTTCAGATTTTTTACATAAATAATTCAGAGTATTAACGAAGTTTATCTTTTTAAATATAAAAATGTAAACAATAACAAACTTTGACAGCTACGTAAACCAGGCGAATTAAGAAAAAAAACAAGTTAGAGTGCTAGAACCAGCAAGTTACTTTTTATTGAAACCCATTTAACTATCTAATTTTTAGATAACTTGGCAAAATTTTTGTTTCCTTATTGAGGGTACTAACATTTATGCATATATACGAAATATATTTATGTCGAATTCTATCACGATAGCTTTATTTGACAATGAAATGTGTATTTTTAGGTGATTTTCGGAAGTGGGGTTATATGGGAGCTATGACCAATAATGGAATCATTGGTAGAATGATTTGTATGTACACAAAACATATTTAACTCGAATTTTATCACAATAGCTTTATTCATCAATGAAAAATGTTCGTTTAGGTGATTTTCGGAAGTGGACCTTGTATGGGGACTATGGCCAATTGTGGACCGACTGATATCTACGTTGATAGTATGATTTCTGTTCATATTATATTTGCATGTACAAATTTTTGTGTTGATACCGATATATTAAAGGGATACGATAAACTAATTTCCGGGAATATATACCTTTGTATGGGGGCAGTGGAAAATATTGGATCGATTTGTAGTGGTGTGGTTTGCCAGCTGTTTGTTTAAATAAACAAACAGACAACATAAAGAACAAAAAGGGACAGCGTGGCCAGATTGCTAGCGGCGCTGGTATGCCCGCGTATTGCGCGGCTAAAGCTCGCCGGATGGGGTGGTTCTTGCCGGCAATCTGGACCACAAACACACACTAACACAAAAATTCATACCAGCATTTGGGGGTATTATTTGAAAAAGGGCCAAAAGTAGTCCTGCATCTCCCTACGGTCATACCTATACACAAATTATGACCCTCCCTCTCGAGGATTCATCCTCGCCATGACGTCATCTTCCTCGACGTCCCATACCTTCCCTGCAAACATTTATTCACCCTACTTACCGCCGATTATTAATAAAGTTAGCCGATCATATTAATGATAACAGAATTTTAAAATTTCATGTAAACATTATAAAAATTTTTTGTTTATTTATAGCAAAAGATTTAACAATTTGGCAAAGTTTAGTTTTTAGCGAATTTAGTTCCTTTTTTATATTTAGCAAAATTTAATTTTAAGATTTTAGCAAACTTTAGTTAACAAAATTTAGTTTTTAGTTTTAATTTTATCAAATTTAGTTTTTAGCAACTTTAGATTCTAGCAAATTTAGTTTTTAGTTTTAGTTTTTAAGATTTTAACAAAATTTAGTTTTTAGGATTTTTAGATTTTAGGCTTTAATCAAATTTTTGATTTAATTTTTATCAAATTTTAGTTTTTAAGCTTTATGTTCCAAATTTTATTTAAGTTTTTACTTAATTTTGAGTTTGAGTATTTAATGATTTTCTAATTTCTTTTTTTTTTTCAAGATTTTCCCTTCTACTTTCAGGTTCCTCGATGGACAGCTGGCAGGACTACAGCAAATGGACTTTTGGTGCGAGCTGGTTGCAGGTGTGGTTTTCTGTCCGTCCGTTTTAGTCTGTTCGGGTATTTCAGGTAAGTATCAAAAAAAAATATATATTATAATGACCTTTTAAATAATTTGGGATTTTTTTTCTTCTTTTATTTTTTGTATATACTGGTTTCCGGCAACCTATGAGAACAAATCCACCGCGACACTATTCATAAGTAGGCCTGAGCTCAACCCTAACCTTACGCGCACGCCTGGTTAAATTTCAACCCGCGGACTGGCTTCGAGCAACTAACCGTAAGGTTTGCCTATAAACTAATATATAGCTGTTTTTTTTTTTGTTTACTGAAAATTTTTTATTATTTTTTCTTTTTTTTAATATATAGAAATTATCTAAAAGGACTGACTGGTTCTGTTCGTCCTGTCGTTCGGGTAAGAGGTAAACTTACAAGGTCGAAAACCTTAATACCTGGGCACCACAGGACTGATGGTGCGGATCTGCTAGAGTAGTCCCACGCTGGATGGAGCTGGCGATGGCGTGGCTCAGAGTTGGCTAATTTAGCTTTATTTTTCTGTTTTATTTAGTTTTATGATGGATGTAATGTAGTTTTAAGTTTTAATTTATTTTGTTTTAACTTTTATTTGTAGTTTAGTTTGAAACTTTTATGAATAAAAAAACAAGGAATTATTTAATTTAAATTAAAATTTTTGTTGTTGTTCTTGACGGCCACGGGCTCCACCTTCTTCTTGGGCAGGGAAAAATGAAAAGGACCGACATCTTACTTTTTAGGTAACGAGAAACCTCGGTTACCAATATGGTTCCCATCAATTTAACACCATTTCAGCCATTTATCTAAACCGTATAGTTTTTTTTACATTATAGTTTTGTTTTTGTTTACATTTTCCAGCTGTCAGTTAGTTTGTACAGCCGCGTTGCCAACTTCTCTTTCCTTCTTCTTCTTTTTAAATTTTGCCCTACTACAGGGTGCACACGACAAACCGTACCATTCTGTAATCCATTTATGGATACAGAATGGGGTGGAAAAATTTGCGCCCTGAATTTATGAATTTCCCTAATTTTATTTCTATAACTATAATTTATAATTTTATTTTGGGAATTTTGGGCATTTTTTATTCTTAACAAAAATTCGCAATATGGCAACCCTCATTCCATTCACAAACAAAAGTGCAACTCTGTGCCGCCGTTAAAACAGGTCGGGCGGCGACGTACTCTGAATTTACTACACAGCTGTTTGAATGAAATGGAAGGGGAGGAGAGAGAATGCAAAAATACGCATTTATTAAAATTTTTCAATGGCGGTGGTCAACAATGGTAAGTACTTTTTAATGAAATTTTTATTTTTGAATTTATTTATTTTTATTTAGAAATTTTACTGAAAAATTGTAACAAATTACTAATTTATAATATTTTATATTTTCTTTTCAGGAAAAGACGGAGGATGCTGCAGATTCTGGTGGAATATTGGTAAGTAAAAATTTATTTAATTCATTCAAGGTCAACAAAAATTCTTAATACATTTTTTTTTTGTTTCTTTCAGGAATGTGGCTACAGTTAGCTATTGGGTAGGTGCTGATGTAATTTCTGGAGTTGGACATGTGCAAGGTAAGTGACAATGAATTTTAAGTGTAAAATTTAAAATAAAGTGTTTTTTAAGTAAAAGTGCTATTAGGATTTTTTTTTGGAAACTACAGTGTGTGTGAAAAGTGTGTGTAAAAAAAAATTAAATAAAAGTGTTCTAAGTGAGTGTAATGTGTTATTGTGATTAAAAAAAAATAAAATTTGGAAAATACAGTGAGTACAAAAAGTGCGCGGACGGACAATTAAAATAAAAAATTAATAAAACGCGAAAAATATTAGTGCCGGTAAAAATTAAAAAACTAAAAATTATTTTTCCAGAATTTACAGTGCGGGACAAAAGTGAAGTGTAAAAAAAAAACAAATAAAGTGCAAGATTAAAAAAAAAAAATTTAAATTAAATGCACTTAAATTGAAATTAAATGAAAATAAAAATAGAATCTACAGTGTGCGACAAAAGTGAAATAAAAAAAATTAAAAGTGAAAATAAAATTAATCTATTGTGCGAATGAATTGTTGACGGTAAATAAAAATTAATAAAAATGGAAAATACAGTGCAAATCAAAAGTGTACGGTGCTCACAATAAATTAAAAATAAAAGTGAATGAAAATTTGAAGTGAAACTGAAAGTTACAGTGACTAAAAATTAAGCCGTTAAAAAAAAATTAATACAGTGGAAAACAAAAGTGATGTGACAAAAAAAAATAATTCTATGGTATTAAGTGAAAATTCTAACCGTGTGTGTAAAGAAACTGTGTGGTGTAGAATAAAACTAAATTTTGGAAAATACAGTGACGGATAAAAGTGTGAGTGATTGGAATAAATAAAATAAATAAAACTATTGAACTGGGCTATGGTTATGGTGTTGTGAACTAATTAAAAACTTAATTTTTTTTTACAGTGGTGAGCAAAATTTCAGTGAAAGTGGAAATTAAAAATTAAAAGAAAATTACTGAAATGAACTTAAAAATTTAATAACGGAGTGATCAATTAGAAATGACGTGAAAATGGTAAAGTGAAAAATAAAATGTAAAAAGAGAAAACTATGGCGAATAATTGTAAAACGAATGGTGTTCACTAAAAGTGTGCTGTGAACTAAAACGTTAATGAAAACTAAAAGTCTTAAAATAAAAGTGAAAAATTATAAAAAAAAAAAAAATCGAAAATGTTTAAAAATAAAGTATTAAATTCAGTTTTTTTTTGTAATTCATATGTTTTTTATAATTTTTTTTTTATTATTTTTTTTATAATTTTTTTCTTTTTAATATTTTTTTTGTGTTTTTTTTTTTCTTTTTTAATATAATTTTACTAATTATGTGAATTCTCTATACTTTCAGATTAAACTTCTAGAGGATCTTGAACTTCAAACTGGCCTTAGATTTCGTTTAGGATCCGTAAGTATAAAAATACAAGAAAATAAAATAATGTTACTTATTCTCCACTGTAACACAAGGACTAAGTCCACCAAAGCTCGTAGAGTAAACTATAGAGACTTTGGCGGGAAATACCCCTTGTAACTACATTAAACAAAAACTAAATTGAGTGCTTCCACTTTCTTTACAGAACACTAATCCAACACCTGAGGAAAGTGAAGTGGAAGATCGAGAACCTGTGAAAGGTCAGGTAAGTCTCTTATTAGGGAGAGTTCGGTGGAAAAGCAAGGACCAAAACCACCAAAGATTTCGGGCTGAAGCCTTAGATCTTTGGCGAGAAGTGCCCCTTGACATTTTCATTTAAAACTAAAATTCTACACTAATAGAAATAAGAGTGTTAGATTATAAAATTTTCTAAAAGAGAATCCTAATAAACATTTTCATAAGCCAATTCATAAATATTCTTTTAGAAAATTTTATTGCTAACTTTAAAAATAATAAAAACTAAAGTTTCGTTTCCCCACAGGTTATTAAGACTTCAAGTGTCCCTGAGAAGGACGAACTGCAGGAATGAAAACGCCATTTAGATGCCAAATTCAGTGGAATTCATGGGAATTGGCAAGTATTCGTAATGAAATATTTAAAACTTAAATTTATAACTATTTGAACCCCTACTAAAGTCTTTCGAACTTTTTTTCAGGTGGCAACAACTACAACAACAACAATAGAGAGCTAAATGAGAGCAGATAATGAAGCAGATAATCCGGGTGAGTGAAACGTTAAAATAGTAGAAAAACTAGAAAGTATGTTAAGTGGACTGGACAGCTAGTATAGGTAGTTTAAGTCGGACTGCATAGAAACCTTTTCTTTTCACAATAAGTGCAGGATTCGGTAGCAATAACAAAATAAAGTTTAGAAAATCTATGAAACAAGGTCCTAAACTACTTGTTATTACTACTGACTCCAAATGAATTGTGTTTAGTATAGTTACTGATTATATCCAGAACAAAACTGAAGATTCTGTACCATCAATCATTTATACCTCGGCCAGTGACAATCTGCTTACGGAATGAACAACTACATGTTGGTCTTCCAATATGTATTGTCCCAATTGTTTCCTTTGGTATCGGCTCGCTGTAAGATCGGACTCAGAATTGCGTCATTGCCCTAGGTGACTAATAACCCTTACGCCTTGAATGGCACGGTACCGGAAGGCTTTGATGGGGTTGCACCTACTAATAGGGTAATGACCGGTTACACATGTAATCAGCTAAGAAACGTTGGCCTTAAGTCGATCCAAACAAATAATTAATCATTCCAAAGTAGCTATGGATCTCACTGGACACGATATAAATGAAAGATAAGTACAGAACTCAGTACTGTTCAGGCTACAACAATAACCATATTAAACCGAAATTCACTGCAAATAAGTAAAAGACAGATAGATTAATATGAAGACTCGACAATACGTATTAGAAAATAGTTACCCATTTAGGCACATATTAGGTGACTAGTAGAAGCTGTCAACTGGTAGATATTCAGGAAGAAATGTTAGGACTAGAACCACCAAAGATATTGAAGCTATTGCTTCAAATCTTTGGCGTGAAAAACCCCTAACGATTTCCCCTGAAAATCTTCGACCTCATATAAACTGTTTCCGACTGGTCGTACAATTCGGCACTTTAGAAATTTTCGGGCGAATTTGGCGTTGAAATTGTTTTTAAAATCGCTCTGCTGGAAGTTACGTCGGTAGACTTCCTGACCGGGTATGAACTTGACTTGACGACACCGCGTATTATACGATTTTTCGTTGCGAGCGTAGGCTTTATGAAGATTTTCGCGAATTTTCTGTCGTATCAAATCCAATCTAGCAGCATTCGGAATGACATTAGTTTCGGGATCGTTTAAGATTCTAAGCTTTCGTGCCAACTGGTATACACTACCATGGCCAATCATATTCATCCCGAATAAGGCGAAATAAGGCGTAACTCCTATGGACGACTGCACGGAAGACCTTAAGGAAAACTCAATTTCGGACAAATGCTTGTCCCATTCTGTATGGTCTTCCTGCAGATACGACCTTACGGCTGCTAAGATAGATTGGTTAACCCGCTCGGATGCATTAGCTTGCGGTGAGTGGGTTGCCGTCCGAATATGTTTGACACCAAAACAGCTAACCATATCCGCAAATTCTTTACTTACGAACTGCTTTCCATTGTCCGAAACGATTGTTTCCGGGGTTCCAAATTTATGGAAAACCTCCGTGATTAAAAATTTCACCACATTCTTGGTGCTGGCTTTAGGCAAGGCCTTTAGAAACACGAATTTGGTCAAATGGTCTAAGACGATAAATATATAAACGTTTCCGTTTTTCGACCGCGGGTACGGACCGAGAAAATCAATGAAAATTCTTTGAAATGGGCGATCAGTCTGAACTTCGGCTCCCATCGGTGGTCTGAGCGTAGTATTCGCTGGCTTAGCTTCCTTGCAGGTTTGGCACATTCTTACGTAGTTTCTGACTTGGACATTTTGATTCGGCCAATAAAAATATTCTTTCACTCTATAAAGAGTCTTCCCAACGCCTCCATGAGACGCTTGTGGAGAATCATGACATGCTCTTATGATGTCCTCTGTCAGATCTAGCGGTACCCATAACTTCCACGCGAAATCTTCATTCGTAGCTATACCGTCGTAAGGCTTAGTACGTTTATAGACGAAACCATCGACGACTTTTAAATCGGGCAATTGTTCGGCATTTTTCTCGACTGTGTCTATGAGGTTACGATAATCTTCTGACCGGAAAGAAACTGAAGTTAGGTCAATGAGTTTAGGTACGTTTAACGAGATTTCGTCCATATCATAGCGCGAGAGGGTATCGGGTACTACATTTTGCTTCCCCTGCCTGTGTTCAATCGTAAAATCGTACGATTGTAGATGTAGACTCCATCTAGCTAAACGACCTGTCAAATCTTTATGACTCATGAGCCACTTCAGACTACTATGGTCCGTAATGACGGTAAAAGGCATCAACTCTATGTAGGGCCTAAACTTCTTAATCGCCAAGACTACAGCTAAACATTCTCGTTCAGTTACAGAATAGTTTTTCTGCGCTGACGTTAGTTTGTGTGAAAAGTAGGCTATTGGATGCTCTCCATCGGAATCATCCTTCTGGAAAAGCACTGCACCAATACCTACGTCAGACGCATCACACTGAACGAAGAAATGTTTGTTGAAGTCAGGATGATTAAGGAGTGGACTTGAAACTAGAGCTTCCTTGAGACGATCAAACGCGACCTTGGCTTCCTCCGAAAACTTGAATTGTTTACCCTTCTTCAGCGTTTCAAAGATTGGGGCTGCAATGGTAGCATAGTCTGGTATAAATTTCCTATACCAGCCTGTTGCTCCCATGAAGCTCCGCACCTGTCTTGCTGTCTTAGGATAAGCAAAACGAGTAATGGTCTCTACTTTGGACGGATCAGGTTTCAATTTGCCACCTCCAACTATGTATCCTAGATATCTTAACTCCTTAAAACAAAACTTAGACTTCGCCACATTGATGGTCAGACCTGCGTTTGCTAAACAGATAGATACACGTTTCAACAATTCCAGATGTGTCTCGAATTCTGGAGATACAATCAAAAGATCGTCCAGATAGACAAAAACCCTATCACGAAGTGCTGCGGGGATCACTTTATCCATTAAACGGCATAACCTTTGGGCCGCATTGCACAACCCAAAAGGCATGACCGTAAAATGATAGAGCGGTCGTCCTGGCACCGTGAATGCGGTTTTCTCTTTACTGGACGATTCTAGTGGTATCTGCCAGAACGCGTCTTTTAGGTCAACACTGGAGATGTATATCGTGTCTCCCAAACGACTGAGCAAACCTTCGATGTGCGGCAATGGATAGGCATCCTTGACTGTCAGTGCATTGAGCTTACGTGCGTCCAGGCACAGCCGGTTTTTCTCGCCCCTGCGGACCAGAGTAACTGGATGACTCCATGGACTTTCACTAAGCTCAATCACACCGAGGTCAAGCATCCTATCGAGCTCCGCGTACATCAACTTTTGCACTGCCGGGGAGACAGGATAGTGACGATCTTTAACTGGAATTGCATCTCGAGTATCTATCGTATGCATTTCCAAATTGGTTTTTCCTAAGCCCTTTTTACTGTAGCAGGGGAACATCGAAATGACGAAATCTAATCTTTGTCGCTGATCCGGGGTCAGCTTATGAGTCACGACATCTAGAGTACTATCTGCCTCTTCGCAGAGACTAACACCATTAGTCGTAAGACTCTCGAGACTGGCAAACATTTTAAAAACCTTCATAAAATCGACCCCCAAGAAGAGCTCTCGATTCAGAGTAGGCACTAAATAGAATGTGATATCATTTACCGCATCACGAAACCTAACTTCAGCCCTGACACGACCGACTATCGGATGATTGGTACCATCTGCTGTTTTTATAACACTACTAAATTCGTGAACCTCAAGACCGGCGTCATTAACGAACTTTAGACAATTCCTACCGAGACAAGTTACCGTTGCCCCGCTATCAAGTAAACCGATTATATTTTGGCCGCCTATACTTAATCGCGTATACAGTCGTGAGTCTTCACCCTCGTAAAGTGAAGCCGACGAAATTTCATGACGTAGCCTTTTCCTCACTTTATAACGTTCTCGAGCTTTTCTAATTTTATTCGTCACTCGACCGAATATTCTACCTCTAGCTTCATTATACTCTTGAATCCGAATATGCAGGGGTTTGAGTTCTCGAAGCCGAGGCTCAGGTTTCAACTCAAACTCCGACCTATTCGGATTCTTTAATATTCTCAATTGTGGTTGTTGTTGTTGTTGTTTTTCCCTAACCTGTACTGGGCCTATACCTCGGTCGACCTCGCCTCCCCAGTTCGAGACGGGTTCCGGGACCTGTTTCCCTGACATTTTGGACATTTAAGGGCCACCACGTTATCTTTACCACACCGGAAGCAAAACTGTCTATTAATGGGCTCGGGACAGTCGACAAAACTATGACCGACGACCTTGCAATTCCAGCAGGTATAGTGACTTGTGGACCGTATACCATCAACCTCCAAATCTATCAGCGACAAATCCTCCTCCTCACAAACCAGTTCATTCACCCTATGGGTAACATTAGTTCGCTGGTACAGTTGCCTTTGGTTAGCGATTAGATTCTCTGCCCGCCTCACCTCCCGACAAAACTCGGACAAAGTTTTAAGGCGAATCGAGAACATCATTTGAGCTAATGATGGTTTTAAATTCCCTCGCATGATTTCTACCAACTGCTCCTCCGCATATGGGTGCTGTTGCTGGTTTCGGAGCTTTATGACCGCATTGTAATAATCATCAAAAGCCTCTTGCGGTAACTGACGGCGATTGAGAATCTTCATTTGTATTTCGTGCTCTTGTTCGAAACGACGGTATTGTGCAAGCAGGGCTTTCTCCAACTCCTCCCAGGTATTAATGTGGACAATCTTCCGGTAATCCCAGTACCAGTCTAGAGCGGGGCCGTCTAGAAGGAGATGGAAACTCCTCAGGATTTCATCATCAGAGCATCCGTAATCCCTCCTCAACGCTCCAACTCTAAAAATGAATTCTTGGACATTCATAGTTTTGCTGGTCCCATCAAATCTAACACCCCATTTGGCTAATTTAAACTTATCCCAGGGCTCTTGAGGTCTTGGCATGGACATTGCCAAGTTGTAGTTTAGAGGCGGTGGCGGTTGCTGAGCGGGTGGCCCCGACCAAGTATCCTGTGGATACCCAGCCTGGGACGCACTTTGCCGTTGGAAATTGGCCTGTGGACCTGGTGGTGGCTGCGGCCATAGTTGCTGTTGCTGAATAAAAGCGTGAGCTGACGGTTGGACGTACGGCAACTGGTTTTGTGGTTGTGGCTGGTTATGCTGTTGCGCTGGCAGTAGGTTCTGGGGGTTTCCCTGCGACCAAAGTTGCTGCGGCTGACTGTAACACGCCGCCGGCTGCTGGATAAGCGGCAGAGGATTTTGCTGCTGAAGCAGCGACTGCTGCTGCTGGTACGGTGTCTGTACTGGCGGCTGCTGATATGAAGTCTGTACTGGAGGCGGCTGGATGCTAGCCTCTACTACTCTCGGCGCTGCTGGACCCACGGGCACATAATTTGGAGCTGGAATCAGCGGTGGTGGCTGCTGATAAGTTGCCGGGCCAAGCGGCGTCGCTGGTTGACCATACCCCGATGGCTGTGCCTCCAAAGAGGTTCTGAGAGGCTGTGTAGTCGGCATTCCTTGGCCGATTGGGGACATCTCTGTAGGCATGGGAGCCGCATTACTCATCGACAGCGACAAAAACAACTGCTTCATGTCATCTAATACTTTTTGTATTTTGTTGTC